TTTGGCTTATCAGGGCCACACTGAGTAAAGGGTAATTATCTTGGGTTGTAGATGAAATATATAATGTAGTTTATCTATATGTATCAAACCCTTCTTTACAAAATGTATTCTAATATTAACAAAAAGTATTTAGGGCAAACTAAATGTAAAACTTGCAGGAAATATAACCTTATTTTTGTAAAACAAAGGTGTCAATATTTGGTTCATTGGATAAGACTGCTCTTCTTATAGTTCTCGTAGAACTTCTCAGAAATTGTAGTTTTTGAAAACTCTTCAAAATAGTTTTTCTCAAAAAATACTACTGTGTGCTGCAAGCACAGGGAGCGGGACACTGCCTACAGCCTCTTCTGTACAGCCTTCCGCTGTCACCTCTGTACAAATCATGAAAAATATTGAAAATCGCATGATAATGTTAAACGTGTATAACCTGGCAGACCCTATGGCTGGGTATCCAGGGCCACCTGTGTGCCTTGGACATGCCTGGCTTAGGGGAACGGGTGGTCATTTAAGTAGGCGAAGTTTCTAAGACCAGTGGCAACAAGCTCAAACATGCAGTCTGCAAGTTACAAATTACAGGAGAAGTAGGGAAGTGAACGCCAAGGATCATGAGTATCGAGGGAAAGCGCGTGTGACACACTGTGTTTACATATAACGCACAGCACAAGAAGTGGGAAGTTCTGAGCCCACATGATTTGGAGAAAAGTCGAGATAACAGTTGTGACACAGGCTGGAGAATGAATGGTCTTGGAAGAAACGGCAAATTTCTCTTCCGAGCTAAAAATGAATTATTTGGATCTGAAGCTTACGAGAACACTGAGATACACAGGCAAAGGCTGGGGGTCACCTGTCCCGCCTAGCAGTAAAGGGTAGGACAATATACATAAAATGTCTTGTAAGCACCCTGCTTATCAGGAAGCTTGTCCCAAAGCCTCACACCTTCCCTATGTGCAGGTCTGCAGGCCCTTATGTTGTCATCATCTTCTTCTGACTTTGTTTCCTGTGTCTGTTTTATATGTCCTGGTAGCCCTGCACTATTTCTCTTTCTTTCTTTTTTTGATATTTATATCTACACCTTTTCGACCTTCTAGAAAAAAAAAAACAACAGCCCCCACAAATGCAGGGTCCCCAGGGCCTCCTTTCAGCATGCAGCTGCCTTTCTTTTTTTTTTGCTGTTCTGAAGAAGAGTATGAGAATATGTTTCTTCAATATCTAGAAGAATTTTTTTTTTTTTTTTTTTTTTTGGTTTTTCTCGTACCGGGAACCCAACTCACGACCTTGCGCTTGCCGGGCAGGCGCTTTGCCGCTGAGTTAAATCCCCAGCCCCTGCAGCTGCCTTTCATGTAGTCATTTTCTTTCTAGGTTTTCTTCACAATTCTCTGGAAGAAATAGGAGCACTTTGGATGACATCTTGTTTTGAAGTACCTGCATCATCACCATGAAAATCAGGTTTTGTGTTCTGTTCTAGGTTGGTGGCTAGCAACACGAGAAGCTAGAACATAACTTTCAAAACAGTATAACTTTTACCTAAAGTACATGTTTGCTATACATGATTTCACCACCATATGTTAATTGTGAAATGCAAATTTGAAAGTCAAAGTGCATCACAAATGATAAGGAGAAGAGTTTAGCACTAATGTGCTCTGATTACACTACATGCCAGTCGCCTGGTATCAGTCACTTCCAGTCTTGGCCTTTACTGTGTTTTCTGCCTAACTAATAACCTACTCAGATTGGGGCTTATTTGTGTCATGCAATTTAAAATTTTTATTTATTTTTTTTTTTTTTTTCCCGGTACCAGGAATCGAACTCACGACCTCTCTCTTGCAAGGCAGGCGCTGTGCTGCTGAGGTAAATCCCCAGCCCTTATTTAAAATTTTTTATGGCACGTGAATACTAGTGCAGTGGTATCTCAGTTCACAGTTTTGGGAAGATGGTCACATCTGTGTTTGTCTCCCAATGTGGCGTTTGTGAACCAAAGCAAAATTTTGTCCAAAACTTTTGTTTGAGGATCAATTTGTGGGTGAATAGGCAAGTTCGTGAACCCAGGTATTATTATAAATGACATTATAAAAATTTATATTTGTTTTCAAACGTATTTTAAGTGAAAATGCCTACTTTTATTATGGATCATCATTTTGGTATATTTGTAATTGAATGCCGTGTGGATTTGTCAAATTTACCTGGTAAGTAGTTCATGAACACAGCCATCCTCTACTGGTTGTGATTTATTGACAGAAGCAGAAATAGTCAGGGAGAAAGCAAGAAATAAGGTGGACAAAAGAAGCTGCTCAAGGGAAAGGCAAATTCCTATCACCAGCCTGTGAGATCAAGATGATAAACAAAAGTATAAAAATTTAAAGCACAGAAAATCCTTAACTGAAAGGACAAAAGCTATTACTTAAAATATTTACATACATAAAAGAAAATATAAAAGAGAGCTATTTAAAACTTGACAGAGTTTCAATTTAAAAATGTAGAAAATTGGAAAATACGTTTTCTTTTACACTGTTTTGTTCACTTGTTTTTGGTCTTTTGAGGCAGGGTTCAGCTTTGCAGTGTAGTATATCTTCATTTATTTGCGTCGTGGTGGACATATTTCATTCATATTACCAAATTTGCAGAACAGACATTCTGCCCATGTTTTCTAAGGTTTATGCCAAGTCTCGTTTTGGTGCTAGTTTAGATGATTGTGCATTTACCACTTCTGTGTGTCATTTATATCTGTCTCTGCACATTAGTTTTAGTTTCTCACAGCTCATTGCTTTGTGAAAGAACGTGACTGACTTTTGTGTATTGGTCTCATACCCTCTGAGCTTGCTACACTCCTATTTTGTTTCTAGGAGTTTGGGAAGATTCAACGGAATGCTCTACATATATAATATATCATCCATGAGGAGAGAACAAATTGTTCCTAAGTTATACTACACTGAACTTACTTTTCTGCTCATGGAGGCCATTCTTGCGTTGTTCTCATCTATTTTCACGTAACAAGAAGTTCTTTATGCTTCCCCTGAGACTCATAGTAATTCAGGCACACAGCCTTTCTGCATTTTCTCTTATACTCACATTCAGGTGGCCTCCAATGCTAGTTCCTCTACTTTGCATGATCACAGTATTTTACTCTGTATTTTTTTGAAAAGGCAGCGACAGATTGAGTATAAAACTAAACCACTGACCATTTCAGGATCCAAATGGACTCTTTATGATTACAAAGCTGTGAAAATAATATTAGACTACAGTAGTACATGTAATTCTCTCAGCAGCCCTATCACAGCAACTTTCTTAATACTTTGTAGGCAAAGGGATGTAGGCTTAGATAAATACACAAATCTATGCATGGTTTGTGAGGTCCACTTAGTCCAGCTAGCATTTATACCCGGATTTCTTACATCAAATCTGCTGCTTTCAAGTACTATACAAGCTGAAACTACTAGTACAGTCCATTCTAAAAGCTCTGCTTGATGAACTCAGAGGTGGTTCTGAAATGAATTTTGATCAATTAGTGATAAGCTTAATAAATAGATAAATACAATTTCTTTTAATTTTTGAATTACTAATCTACTTCTCTCTTCTTTCTTGCTTTCATCTTCTACATTTGCTTAGGTGTTCAGTACAAGTGTTAATGACAGGCCACAACATTAACCTTTATTTAATGATTAATTTTTCCTGAAATATAATCTCCTAATCATTAATTTCTACAAACATTTTACAAATCCTCCCTTTCAAGTATGTTTACAAAGTGAACTAGAAGTTATGACAACAATATTCAAATAATGAAGAGAAATGCATTCTTGAAGAGAGGAAAAATTATTGAAATGTCTCTTTCTATGCTCTTGAGACAGCTACGTGCTTCTAGAAATCAGAGACGGAGAAGAGTTATTAATTAACTTATATTCATAGAGAGGAATGTTTATACAAACTACTTTCAAGGTAAAGACTCTTAATGCTTACATGTTGAGCACAAGAATATTGAGTATTGATAGGTTAGTGAGGGTGCAATAAAACTTTACAAGTCAGCCGATATATACCTGAGCAATTTTTCCAGCTGGTTAGCAGCCTCACTACCCTGCTGCCGCACAGCAAGTCAAACACGCTATGAAAAAAGGTAAGAGAAGGAATCACATCTGTAATTTCATGTTCTAAATGAGTGTTTTTCCTTGATTCACATTACCAACATTAACCTGTTTGCACATGTTTAAAACTGTCCAACGTTTTAAAATTACCAATTAGCCCTTTTTACTAAAGTCACAGAAGATGATTCCAGTTTTGAAGAGGTATGAAAATATTTTCTTTTCCAGCTCTTTGTTATAATTTTCATCAAACATAGGTGGGATCCTAGTAGCTTTTAATAACTTTTGTGCAGGAAAATAACATAGAAAGTAGTTATCAAAAAGTAGAGAGATACTGTAGCTAAGTATGATAAAATATATTTTGTTTCCAAATACTTAGAGTAAAAGACCAGATTTATAAAATTTTTGATCTTGGAGCACAATTTTAAATGTCGCTTATCAATCTCCTAACTAATTAACTATTATGCATTTTGAAAAAGGTGTCCATATGCAATTTCTCCAATAGTTTTTGCTTTAAATTACTGTAGGATATGGTTGCTGTAATTATCAGCCACAGAATAGAAGTAATTTCAATGCTTCATGTTCTAGGTACTTATATGAGTAATCTAATTTTGTTACATTCATTTTGGTCTCTTCCTTTCTGGATAAAGAGAGATTTGTGTTATAATAATGGGCATTTTGTTGTCTCTTGCACAATAAAATGTGTAGTTGTGCTATTGTCTCCACAACAAAAAAGTAGGACATTGCTTTAAGTGAGCCTTCTATTAATTGAAAGTTACCCATTAAATGTGACTGTTTGATTTCTGGCATAACATTGAGCAATTCATTTTATTTTTTATAAACGTCTTATATCATCTATTCTTTTCTTTAAATTTAGCATCCTAAGTTTAGTCTCTTTGAATGATACTGAAGCAATAAACAGCATAACTTTTGCATATCTATCACAGGAAATTATATGCTTAAATTTAAAATTTATTTTTTTAATTTAAAGAGAAAAAAGTAAAAATAACAATAAAACAGTTTCAAAACAATATTCGTTCATATGGTATATTTAAATATTAAACTTGTGCTTATTCAGTATGTTTCAGAACTACTTTCCTAATTTTCATTATTAAGAATGTAATAATCAGATAGGAGAAATTGATATAGCATAAATAACTTCAATAGGTGTGCTGTGTGCTACTGCAAAACACAGAAAGGGCAGGTTACTTCTGCCTGCAAGAGCACAGTGTCCTCACAGAAACCAGGATATTTGAACAAGCCATTAATGAGAATTCAGGCAGAAGAGCAGTTGGGCAGGGACTGAAGAAGGGTTCAAAGGCGCATAAGCAGGAGACATGTTATCCAAGACCTGTGCTGCAATTTGGGGTCAGATGAGGATGTGATTCTGAAAACATCACAGAGACAAAATTAACAGGACTTATTAAGTGACTGAATGTGCTAGGAAAATGCGGGAGAGAGAAAAGCAGTTTCAGGTTCAGATAATTAGGTACAAGAACCTACACGTACAGGTGGAGCAACCACCATGAACCAAAACATAACAAAGAAAAGGGATTTTGGTTTTTTTTGTGTGTGTTTCTCTTGTTGAGACAGGATCTCCCTATGAGATTCAAGCTGGCTTTGAACTCATGGTGATCCTCCTGCCTCAGCCTCATGAATGTTGTGCTGGTATTACAGGTGTGGGCCAACACATCCAGCTTTAAAAAAGGATTTTAAAATCAGAAATTTATGAAATAATTTACCACTGAAATTCTAATTTTGACCTGGGTATATCAAGGAAAATCTATGGAATTAACTGCTAGGAAACAGTATGAGAGTACATAGTCAAAATTGAGCAAGATTTCAGATAATGATTGGAGAAGGATTCCTTGGTAACCCACATTTAGATATTTTCTGTATGTTATCTGAAATACATAATGTTCTAAAAGATGTATGAGCAGCTCATGGTGACACACAAACTGTAATCCCAGTACTCAAGGAGGCTGAGGCAGGAGGATCTCAACTTGAGCTGTCAATTTAGTGAAACTATTCTTAAAATAAAAAATAAAAAAGTGCTAGGGTTGTAGCCAATGTGAATTCTCTGGATTAAATTACAAGTGTCAAAAAAGAAAATTTTACATGTAAGTGTTTGGTATATTTTACTATTTAAAGGAAGAACTTGTTAACCCCATAGTCTGAAACATTTTAAATATTTAAACACACATTTGTGGGTTGTTATATGTTAATGCACATTTGTGTCATCTAACACTGTTCACTATGACCTTATTTTGGGAAAGAATATCTACCTATCTATTAAATTAGATGAGAGTTGTTACACTTATGTCCATATTCTTTTCCAAAATATGGTCATGTTAAACAGTGTTGTATGACACAAATGTGAGTTAGAATAAAAAGAAGATTACCTTACTTTGAAATTGAACTTACTCGCTTTCAGTTTGAAGTTTCTGATTGGTAAAGTGTAATAAATAAGAACATCTCCTTCACAGTATTAGTAATTTTGAAAATTAAAGAACATGGTGCAAGTGGAAAGCTCCTCTGACCTGAAAAATGATTTCCAATACGAGGGCGAGACAGTCAGCTCGGGAAGGCTCACCCGCGCGCCCGCGAGCCCTGGGACGTGCGCCTCTGCTTCGCGCCTCTGATTTCGCTGCGGGTATTTTCACCCTTGCTGTGTGCAGCCGTTCAGGTTTTGGACCGGTAGATCCACGACCTTGCGTCAAGCTTAGCAAAACAAAATAGTATCTAAAATTTTATGACAGTGGTGTACGGTAGCTGTTTTACTGTACAGTTTAAACAACAATTCCTTTCTTTCTTTAGATGGCAAGGAAGAAGTTTAGTGGACTGGAAATCTTCCTGATTGTCCTCTTTGTCATAGTTACAATAATAGCTATTGCCCTTGTTGCTGTTCTAGCAACTAACACACCTGGTGTTGATGGTAAGTAACCGTAGGAACTTTTATATATTAAAATAAAGTTAAGAAAAATTTATTCCATTGTGTTCATGGTTTAAAAATAATCTTTGAGACATGAAGCAAGCGAAGAAAGATCTACAGCAAATGACACAGTGGGTCCAACTTTTTGCATCCTTTATGTTCTGGTTATGACGATAGAAAGGCTTTGTAACTAGGGATCCGTGTGTTTAGTGAACTCCTGTACTTAAATTACTGGAAGAAGAAAAAGAGACTGAAAGACGAAGGCGTTCGTGCGCGGAGGAATCCTCGCCCACTGTTATGCTGAGGTTTTGCTCTGATCCTCAGAAACTTGCGCTGTGGCTGTGTTAACGAAGCAAGTACTCTCTTCCTCTTGCATCAGCTTTTTTTAAGAGAAAGAGGCTGCATGACGTAGGGAGCTAGAGGGAGGATGAAGCAAGACCTGCGGTGTTTAGCGACATTTTTCTGAATACTTCCATCCCAAATCAGAGACGCGGCTTACCGCTGTCGACTAAATCCGTTCTCCTTCGTCATTCTCTCCCTACCAAGTCAGAACTCAGGAAGGTATTTCACATCGCGTTCACGGCCGAGGTAGCGTGCGACCCCCGCCGCTGCTATTTTCTGACTGTCCTTCCGTAACTGGCCACTCACTGCGCTGTGAATCCCTCACAGACGACGCACGTCTGATTGCTAACATACCCTTCCTTATATAGAGTTTAATTTATTTTTTCTTTCTTGTCTCCAGCTTTCTGATCTTTATTTGTGAAATTGTTCTCTTCAAAGTATCTTCTCTCTCCAGTTTTCCTTTTCCGTAGTTTATTGTCCTCTTCTCTGTGCCCTTTCCGGTTCCCAATTTTTCATCTTCTTTCATCAGTAAAACACAGATCGTAAATGTTCTGGGAATGTATATTATATTTCTCTGTTAATCTATGACGGGATCTCCTATGAACGTATTATTTTCTTGAAGAAACAGACAACAAGGTTCTAGATTGTTACAAAATATTATGTTCTGACTGTTAGCGCCTGCAAATGTTTTACAAGTTTTATCTTTTAACTAACTTTTCAGTGAAAATTTCAGTTTCACAAGGGTTAACAATAGCTACTAAAGTAATATTCAAATAATGAGGAACCAATTAAATAACTTCTTTTACATTCTTAATATGGTTCTTAATTTCTAGAATTTTAAGACTAATATTTTAAAATACTATTTGAATCTTTCCCTTGTAAGTGATTGAATTTGTGGACTTTTAAAAATGCAAGTGTATTTTTACTTTCATTATGCATAAATTCAGGTATTCTTGCCACATAAACTACATGATACTCTAAGAAACTATAAAAATATTAAACATCATGTTTTATTTAATGAACTATTTTCTTCCCTTCACTTTCAGGACCCACTACCTCTGGTTCACAAAGATGTCCAGCAGCCATAAACGATCCCATCAATGAGAGAATAAACTGCATTCCAGAACAATCTCCAACTCAGGTCTGCAAAACATTTCTTGTACCTTTTATGAATATATTAATAATGATATTAAGGTAATTGGTTGTTACTGGATAATTCTATATTGTTGAAAACCTAGATATACATTCGGTTGAATATATTTCTTTATTATACTTTCATATAAACAGATAATAGATAATTGAAGTTACTGACCTTGATTTTTTGTACCTCTGTTCAATTCAGATTAATAAGTTAATATTTATCCAAGCTTAACAAGCTATTGTTAATGTTATAAAACTTCACACAGTTCTGACCTTTCATATCTACTTCTTTAAGAAGACATAATGTTTGGAAATACAGACAATTTAGATGAGAATGCCTTTATTCTTTAGCATGTTTATGATAATGCCATTGAAAAGACTCCGTGGAAATTAACACTCACTTTTTAATTTTTTTTTTTTTTGACAATTAGGAGAGAAGCAGCATTATGGAGAAAATTAAGGGTAGCTGATCAGATTGATGTAACCCTAAGTTGACTTTTTATTCATAAAACTGTGTGGGAATAAAAGTCAATGGATGAGTGTATGTGTGCATATATACATGTATATAATATATATGATATATGAATATATCATATATCTATGTTTTGCAAAATCTATAATATGCATGTCTAAATCTTGCCTCTTCCAATGTCCTCCACCTCACATAGAATAACAAAATAAACTATAAAATTTCTATTAGTCCAACATAAATTTGTTACATCACAGTTAAGCCATAATTTTCAAGTCAGTTCATCAAGCAAATTCTGAATAGATACTTTTTCCTTTGGGAAACTTTAAAAACAAGTCTTATAGCCTATCCAGTGATTAAAAAATGTGGATAATAGTATTTGCTGACACACTGAGGGACATGGCCAGGTGTTCTTTTTGGTTAATTGTCTCCTCAAGAAATGATTGAAGGATAATTCCACTGAGATACTAGGAGCCCTAAGGGACGTGCAGAGAAACAGTACATCACAGCCAATGGCCTAGAGTACTCGCGCCTACTATTGGTCTTTAACACCTGTCCAGCCTGTGAGGTTGCCAAAGAGTGTTTTCAATGTGAAACAAACTTATAAATAAAATAAATTCAGTTTTAGCAAATGTATTTACTTTTGCCATTTTTAGAAAACAAAATGAACTATTTTTAAAACAGCTTAGCACATCCAAAGGAATCGCTTTTTAGTACTGGATATCACACCTTTCACGTACTGGGCGAGCGTTACACCACCAGGACGCGTTCTCTGCTGTCAAGTGAACTTAAGTGTTGTCTTGATATTTTAACTAAGAAAGTTGGAATTTAATAAAACTTACGGTGGGCTTCTGGTTTAACAAAAGCTCTCATTCATTAAACTTTAAACTTATACTTGAGAGAATTTTTCAAGGCTGAATGAACATGTTAAGGTCATTCTCCTGCTAGATGAGAAGGAAAGGTTGAACTGAAAGGCAGACTTGCAAAGTCCAGAGCTGTGTCATATTCTCTAAACACAACAGCCTCTATCCGTGAACCAGCATCTTCTGACTTTCTCCAATTCATTTTCTGGGATAATATTTTTCTACTATAGACTGTTGATGAAGAACAAACGATGACAAGATGAGAAAATAAAATCTTCCTGAAGTTCAGAAAAGGACAAGAGTAATACTTTGTCTTTTACTCCTTTAGGAGATGTTTCCTATTTCAAAGAGAATTTTATTTAAACGCTCATGCAGGTTTTTAAAAATTTGCTGCATAACTGTACAATTTAACAGGTTTTTTTTTCACTAATATCTTGAAAGATTTTTAAAAACAGCTCATGTTAATTTTCCATCATCTCAAGTAATAAGCTAAATGTGATTTATTACCTTAATACATACACACTTAAAATTGTAAGTATGACAGTCATAGCATTCAAGTAAATATTATATGGTCCAAAACAGCTGGTTGATATTTAATTTTTTAGAAAGATTATGTTCTAATAACTTTCCTTAAGCTTTGAGTGTAATAATTCTCTTTGAGGTAGATAGAGATAGAGATATAGAGATAGATAGAGATGTAGAAGGAAGTGAAAGAACTGGTTACACTAAACTTATTGTACATACAACTTATTGTTTAATTAAAAAAAGCATGCACACACATTGAATTATAGTAAGAAAATATGGACTATGTCATTAGCATAGGAATTTAAAAAATCACTGTTCTACCCCAAGTGAGTTATTTAGCTCAGGTTGTTACAAAAACATACAAGAGACTTGTATCACACTTATGTTCTCACAGTTCTGGAGGTTAGAAGCTGAGGTAAAGATGCCATCAGAACTGGTCTTTCCCCCAGGCTTGCAAAGTGCTGCTTCTTTTTGTGTCACCACATAGTATTTTCTTTGCACACTGAGAGAGAAATTTTTGGTTTCCCTTTCTCTTTATAAAGACAATACAATGACTGGACTATGGTCCCTTACGTATGGCCCTATTTAACCTTAACTATTGTCTTAAGAGTCCTACCTCCAAATCTCATCAGAGTGGTAGCTGGAGTTTCAGTGTAGGAATTTGAGAGGGATATAATTCACTTTCTAACAGTTAGCCATCTCAAGATGTACTGTCCTATGTATTAACCTGTAATTTTAGCCTTGTATATGTACACAATCACACACAACTATAATGAAGAATATGACATACTGGTTGCATTCTTCTCTCTAGAGCTTATACCTTTTGATGTGTTTTAATTTTGTGGCTTTTCAAGGGAAGGAGAAAGAAGCATGAAGTTAGTTGAGGAATGAAAAATATTTCTAAAAATTCCTAATCCTGAATAATAATAATAGCTATGCCAGTTAATCTTAATTGTCTATTTGACTAGATTAAGAGTGTCCTGGAAGGGCGATTGGGTCACATCGGTGCTATCTTGATTGGCACTGATGTGCACATCTAAACGTGCTGTTAAGAAGCGGGGCCCGTTCCGAGGTGGGGACCGGGGTGCTCCTCTGGAGGACATAACCACGGCTGGCGCTCCTGGCCTGTGTCGTGCTTGCTGGACAGGAAGGCAGCAGCTTCCACCCACAGAATACCCACCATGATACTTTTTCCTTTGAGACTCCCAACAGTGGATTGAACCCATGGGTCTGCGAGCTAAATTGAACCTCTCCTCCTTTAAATGGCAGATGTTGGACATTTTGTTCAACAGTAGGAAAACAGGCCCATGCATGCAATTGCTACCGGAGAAGTGGGGTCATGGCTCTGACTGCACCCAGCATCGTGTTTCAGAAGCCATTGGAACTGGTTTCCAGGAAGTGTTTGGAGTGGTTCACAGATGCAGTCTAGGCCGTTGTAAAGAGAACTTAGCCCAGAGGACTCGAGTGCTGATAGAAAGGCAAACAGTTAAGGCCAGGCTTATGCAGTCCCCAGTAGGAACAAGAGCTCTATGAGGAACTGGACAAGAGGCCACTGTGTCCATATTTTGCTGATGTCCTGAGAATTTGTGGGAAGCTGAGTTTACGGGAAGTGGACTAATGGATGTGGTGGAGGAAATTTCAAACTGTTGCATAAGTGCTACTTATTATCTTTTAACCCGATCTGGGAGCAAGAATTGGGAGTATAAAGTAAAGTCTAAAGATTTTTAAAGTTTTGGCTCAAGTGGAATCATGTGCAAACTTGGAGCCAAAGAGAGTGCTGCTTGTTGAAGGGATTAGTGTCATTAAAGACACTGAGTGTTTTTAACCTGGATGCAAGGTGCCTTAAGGAGATTTTGAAATCAGTTAAACTCCACCTACTACAGACTCAGAGTTGCAAAAGTGTAAACTTTTCCTTTGAGAACAGACCTGCTGGGCCCCGTGCCAGAGAAGGACTGCTTCAGGAATTAATTCCCTGGACTGATTGCAGTGCTCTTAGCTGTTTGGTCACTCAGAGGACACTGTAGCTATAGTCCATTGGGGTTGGCTTCTATGCAAACTGGCGGCAGACCTTGGTGTCATCCTTGAGATGCAGGTTTTGTAGACATGTAGAACACAAGAACTGTGGGGTCATAGAGGCCTCCACACAGACTTCAGAAGAAGGCTGTGGATGCCAGGCAATGTGCCCGTGACAAGGGAGATCTGAGGCTGTGGGAATGAATCTGAAGGCACAGTGCTGACCACAGGAAGTCAGAGATTCCAGAAACATAGAACGTCTGCCCAAATCCGCAGGAACCAGAGCGAGCCAGCCTCAGGAAGAAGCCATGGGCTGAAACTTCCATGGCTATAGGCGTGGGGCTGCCTGAGCTGTCTAGAACTCACTTATAACAACCATGTATCTCACATGCCAGTACCAGAGTTACAGAAGTTATTCTTTGCCTTTCTAGGTTTTGGTCTTGCTTTTGCCCAATTCTTTTCTTCTCTTACATTTTCCCATTTTGCAATGAGAATATTAGCTCTATGCCGTTTAATCCTGAGAATATGTAGCTTTATTTTCATTTTTACAGGGGAGTTTTAGTATTAACCTTGCCTTGAGTCTCAGAAGAGGCTTTGGGTTGGATTATGGAGCAAAGCTGGAACCTTTGAGACTTTGAAGGAGGGATTACTTCATGTTCAGTTTTATGTACAAGAGCTGAATCATGTTAAGTGGAATCATTGACGTTCTTGTGTTTATTTGGAATTGAAGGATGGTTTAAGGAGATATGAGTAAGTGTTAATTCAAGGACTAGACTTGTGCCAGTTAACCGTCATGTCAGTCTGACTGGAGTAAGAGACTCCGGGAGGTTGACTGAGTCGTGAGGGTGCTGTACCCCCTTATAGTTGGATGAGTTCCTACAAACTGGGTCTCCGTGGGAGGCAGCTCCTCAGTGGTACGCCTCAGCAAGCTCTGTCTCTCGCCGGCACCCTCTCACTGTGCTCCACCTTGTGACCATCACGAGATGAGCTTGTTCATTCCACCACAGCCTCCTGCCATGATGCTTCTGTCTTGTGTCCCGCTAACCATGAACTGAAACCTGAAATCTTTAGTCAAATTAAACCTGCCTGCTTTAGGTTTTATATGAAAAATGTTTCATCTCATCAACAGGAAAACTGATGGAGACAACAACTAAACTTACATAAATACCAAAATATTCATAAGATACACTAACATTAATACCATTTAAAAGCAGTAAGGGAATATATAGTTTAAAACTAATACTTGGGTTTGTATATGCAGTGAAGTAAATAATATTTTCCAAAAGAATCAATGTCTGCCTGAATTCTCAAAATGTGACTTCATTTGGAAATAGGGCTTTTGCAGATGTAATTAGTTAAGGTGAAGTTATACTGGATTATGAAGTAGCATAAACATAACCACTGGTGCTCTTATAAAAGAAGAGGGTGATATACAGACAGCGAAGAATTCTCATGAAGGAAGCAGAGATTGGAGTAGTGCCCCATAAGCCAAAGAATACCAAGGTTTGCCAGGAGCCACTAGAATCTTTGTGTACCTTCAGCAGCAACATGACCTTCCTAGCACCTTAATTTAGGATTTCTAGCTTCCAGAGCCATTGTTTTAATTCACCTAGTTTCATGGTTGTTATGGCGGCCCTAGAAAACAATGTGTACTTTGAGAAATTTAATTGAAATGTATTTTACTGTGTTTTATTTTGTCAAAATGCAGTTATACTCTACTTCTTTTCTCTTGTGTTTTAAAATCACTTTTTATACCCTTCCAAATTACTACTTCTTATGTAATACTACCACTTTACTTTGTACTAATATATATATATATATTTTTTTTTAAATCAAGGTCAGCTGTTGGAAATGGTAATTTTTGTATAACAATGTCTTTGCACTGGTGGGAATGTTTTTATAGGAAAGCTAGTGGTAAAACTATTTCATAAACGTGGTACATACACTAGATTCAAATAGCCATCCACACTCCAGAATTGTTAGACACAATTCCACTGGTTTTTGCAATATATATATATATATATATATATATATATATATATATGTTATGCATGTATGTATGGGTGCTATTTGTGTATCTACAGCCAAAGTAAAAATAAGAGAGAGTAAAATGAAAGAATTAAGATGTATTATGTTAAGCCAGGGATATAGCTCAGTGACACAAGCACCTGCTTGGAAAACACAAGGTCCTGAGTTTGATTCCTGGTACCAAAAATAAAAATGTATTATGCACAACATACTGCAATGTACTAATAAATATTTTCAAAGTTACCTTATTTGGCTTAATATGGTACTTTTAAAGTATTTTTATTAGATATAGCAAAAAATTATAACCCTATAGGAAATAAAATTATGAACATGTCACACAATGTTAAATTTAAGTATGAGGTAGATTTTCAATAATACAGTATTTTATTTTATTATTTCATTTTGGAGACAAGGTCTTGCTATGTAGTTCAAGTGGGCCTTGAACTCACGGCTGTCCTCCTGCCTCTGTGTCAGGAGTGCTGGGATTACAGGCAGGCGTCATCACTCCGGACTCAATAGTACATTTTAATGCGTAGTATCACCGCATTGCTCAACTTTTACATAGACATTTATGGTTCTTCCCCCATACATAATCTTTTCATGGAGATAATAAAATTTGTAAATGTAGTATTTTGTTTTGTTTATTGAATACATTTGCAGTAATTTCTTGTGACTTTTGGCATATGAACTAGTTAGAAGGGAGAAAATAGATAATTGTTAAACTAATAAACCTCTAAAATATTCCTCTTAAAAATCTTATATGGAATTTAACGGAGGTATATATTTTTGTCGTCATAACTTCACCATATTCTTGATATAGTAAGTACAAAATTAGCATTTCAAGTCTCCTTCATCAACACCGTTTCAAGAAAGTAAATTATAGTTACCCACAGGGCAGGAACTCTGAAAATACGTGCTTATAATATTATGCACGGAATCACTCATCCGGTAAATCAAAACTCAGAGCCTAAGTATCTGATGTCCTATAATAATTCAGTTAATGCACTGTTTTTGTATCTTCCCAGAGACAGGAATAAAAAACTGACATTTTGCCATATTATATATTTGAAGATGTAAAGCATGCATTTGTTGGGAGAGCAGCCCGGGGGCATTTGACCATGACACTGACCGACTCCCCCTTTACCGTGTGTGTCAGGCCGTGTGCGCGCAGCGGGGCTGCTGCTGGAGGCCGTGGAACAACTCGGTGGTGCCGTGGTGCTTCTTCGTGGACAATCACGGCTACGACGTGGCTGCAAGGAGAGCGACGGACGCCGGTGAGAAGGGCTTCCTCTTCATTCTAAGAGAAAAACAAAGCTGAAAGTTGTCTCCGAAAAAATATCTTCTATAGAATCGAATAAGAAGTGTGTCACCAGAATGTTTAAATTGGTTGTACAGTATTGACTATTTTATTTTTTCCACGAAGGTATTTTCCAAGTTAAAAAGCTCTCGTGATTTGTGATAAATACATTATTGTACAATAAATATATTTAACAATCGCATCTGTGTGGAAAAGCTAACTCACGACCGCTCTTTTATTCCTGGTTGAAGGACTTGAAGTTCAGCTGAGCAGGATATCTTCTCCTACTCTGTTTGGAAATGACATTAACAACGTGCTCCTCACAACTGAAAATCAGACACCCAATCGTTTCCACTTCAAGGTTTGGTTTTTGATATCATGTAAAAGATTTAATAATAAAATGTAATTTATGAATGTACTCTTTGGTCTATCAATCTATTTTCCTTCTTGAGAAATATTTATTTTAAAGAAAAAGACTAATTGCTATCGTTATTACACTACTTAAGCCTGTTTCCTCAAATCTAGTGCAGGAATATTAATAGTTTTTCCCATTCTTTGTTTTGAAAAATTTAAATAATAGAGCCCATGTCAAGTATTTAGTATACTATTTTAAGATGCGTAAACATTGAATAAATATTACTCTTTTATTTCAGTTACAGGTTATGATGGAGTACTTGTTTAAAATTTAATATGAGAAGAAATGTTAAGAGTGACATAAGAATGTAATTTATATTCGCTGAATATATTAGTCCTGGTCACTTCATTGTTTTATTTTATTTATTATTTTAATTTTGCAGTCCTGGTTGTTGAACCCAGGACCTTCACACTGAGCTGCATCTGCAGCCCTTTGGTCATTTTTTATATTGAGATAGGGTCTTGTAAATTGCTGAGCTGTCCAGGCTGGGCTTGAATTTGGGATCCTCCTGCCTCAGCCACACAGAATACTGAGTCTATAGATGTGCACCACCACACCTGGCTCTTTGCTTGATTTGGGAAAAAAATCCATACTGTCTTTCACAACAGTAGCCAGTGGCCTGTTCTTTTTTAAAATCTGAAGATGAGAAATCATATATTTTCATTTTACCAACAATTTCATAGGAATGAAGTGATTTTAAAATTTTATGTATTTATTCATTTTTGAAATGTTGGACACTGTCTGGCAAGTGATCCACCCAGAGTCACATCTCAAAGCCTGAAATCTTTAAAATAAAATTTAAAATCCTTTTGGCGCTATCTAAGGGGATGAAAATTGAAACCACTAGGAATAATCCAGTTCATAAACAGGTGCTATTCAATAGTCAATATTACTCACTGCAATCTTAGAGCTTTTATCAGCCCATAAAACTCTTTACTTGATTTTATATGCAAAACTTTAAAAACTAATTAAATATTTCCATTTCTTAACAATAGATGTGTGTTCTCTCTGCTAACCTCCCGCGAATGTTAAAATTTAGGTTGAACAACTGTTGGTAAAATAAATTTTCCGAATGCATTATTTTTTATTTGAATTTTGTAACTCAAAATTTTAAAATGAAACAATTGTTTTGAACCATACAAAGATAATTCCTTTAAATCCTTGCAGATTACTGATCCCAATAATGTAAGATACGAAGTTCCTCATCAGTTTGTAAAGCCGCACACCGGGCCCGCGGCTTCTGAAACACTGTATGACGTGCAGGTTACAGAAAAGCCTTTCAGCATCAAAGTTATAAGGAAAAGCAACGGCAGAACTTTGTAAGCAGGAATTTTATTTTATAATTATACAAATTTAAATAGCTGTCCTATTTCACTCTATTTTTGTAGAATAAGGATATCTTAATATAACTACATTGTCACAAAGAACAGCTTTTTTCTGATGAGAAAGTTGGTGCAAAACTTTGTGAGGATTCTGACAACAGGCTCCTGCTTCCCGCTCATGGAAGGCACTGAAATGTGAATAACGTGAAGATACCAACCGAGTGAACTGGACGCGAAGGTGGAGACCCCTGGCATAATTACAGCCTTGGCTGTATCTTTGTTAGTGTAGAAGTGCTACTGAAGGTTGTCCTCAGTATCTACCTCATTGTGCTTCCAATCTGTAGTATTAATGGTGTTAATTTGTATGGTGACACTGAAATACTTCTATGTAAGTTAAACTGAATCTCGGCTGAACATCTTCACTTAGAATCTATCAGCTGGCTGGTGGAGCAATAGGTACAAGGAGGTTGGAAATTCCCTGGAAATTGAAAAAAAGCTCTTGCCTTCTCAAGAATGTTCATTAAGCAATAGCCCAAATCAAATTATATTCATTGAAAGTAATTTAATACTTTTGCAGTTGGCTCCATGCTACATGATGAAAATCCATCTTCACAGGTGGAATCCAGCAAAATCAACATCAGAGGGTACAATGGAGCTCAGGGTTAGGATTAACACCTGGGGGAACAGGACATAATTATTCCATGTATATTTCAGAACTGCTAAGAGAATTGACTCTAAATCTTCACACCATAGAAAATGATATATGGAGTGAAGACTATATTAGTTAATTGCGTTAGTCATCCCATAACATATATGAAAGCATTACATTGTGCTTCATAAATATAAGAAATTATAATTTGCTAACAAAAGTAAAAAATATTACATGCAAGAAATGGCATTTAAAATTTCATGTAGTAGAGACTTGGTCTGCATAAAATGTAGAAGGAGTTTTCTTTTTGGAAAAAATGATAGGGAAGTCAATTGTAGTGTACATGGTAGAGGGCTTAAAGCCGCTGCAATGCTACATTGTAACCCTGAGTCCCTGGAGTGCAGCAGATACCTGAAACCTTTTGTCTGCTACTTGTGACCTTTGAAATCCCAGTTTTATTCTTTCAGTGTGTGTTATCTATGAGCCGTACAATAGTTGTGGCTTTGTGTTTGGGTTGTGACGGTGTATAGTGAATGCATGTGCAAACATTAGATTCATGATCTTGAAGAAAATTGTATTGGTTATTAAACAAATTTTGATTATGACAAAATTTGTATTGTCCTAAAATGGGACCACATATAAACATTGACATCTTTGAAATTAAATATTCTATATGATGTTAAATGACACACATATTTGATGGAATATTTTATGCTTCTACACCATTTATTTCTTTGTTTCTTGGTTCAGATTTGATACCAGCATTGGTCCTTTGGTGTACTCTGACCAGTATTTACAGATTTCAACCAGACTTCCCAGTGAATATATTTACGGCTTGGGGGAACATATTCATAAGAGGTTCCGCCATGATTTATACTGGAAAACGTGGCCCATTTTCACACGAGATGAGCTTCCTGGTGATGTAAGAAACTCTTGTTATCAATGAAAACATTGTATTGAATTAAATTTCCTGTTTCAAGCCATCACTCACCTGTCACCAATTAAGTTTTCTGGTCATTAGTGACATCTAATGCAGAAGCTTGTTTACTTGAGGGGTGAAACCTCGTAGCTAAATCCTGAACTTAGTTACTAACAGATTTCATGAATGTTTGAGTGAGGTGTTTCCAGGTTATGAATGTTTTTCACTTTCATGGTTTGTTATTCCTTTTACATCACCTTTATATTTAAGCTCATTAAGCTAGAATAATTCCAAATGCCATGTGTTACATGCTACAGTGCATTCCCATACTGTGGACTTCACCTCACACATCCTGGTGCACTTCTTTTCCATCTATATGTCATCTTCTGTGGCTTCCAATTTTTGCACAGGAGTTGATTTTCTTTCTGAAACTTGAGATGGTTTATCATTCATAAAATATATCATTGAAAGCATATCTGAATTTTCACCTCATAAGAACTTCTAAATTCTCCTATGTAGGGAATATCCTTGCTTTCTTACCCATTCTTTACATTTTAGTATGACAGTAATCATATATATATAATTATTGATTGATTTCATGTGAAATTATTAAGTAAAAAGCTTTGCACTGCAATTTTTTATAGATAGTGACGAAATTAGTATAAAAATAAGAGTAACGTATAAAAACAGATGCGTTGTTAAAGGCCATTTTAACACTGTTAGCATAGTAAATCTTACTCCAAAAACACATGAAATTTCATGTTTTTGCCTTTCAGAACAATCACAACTTATACGGTCACCAGACGTTCTTCATGGGCATTGAAGACACATCGGGAAAGTCATTCGGTGTGTTTTTGATGAACAGCAATGCAATGGGTAAGAATCCCTTACATGATCCTGTGATGAAGAGACAGTCCACCTGACACCCTGCTCAAGAGTTTCTGTATCTAGCCGCGGATATTAGGCGCCAGAAGATTTGAAGTTAGTGGACAATAAAACTTTTCCCATGCACATTTCTATTTTGGGCAGAGGATTCCATGTTAATACACACAGCTGCTTTCTTTGCCCTTAGGAGCAACGCAGAAACACATCTGTAAAAATTAGTAAGTCCCTCCTCACGGCCACTTTTGTCAAGATGAGTTAACAGGCTGTTACCGCTAAAAAAGAGCAGGATCTCTATGCGATAACAGTAACAGCAATTTGTAGTCCATTAGGATTCGAAGAAATGTAAGATCTTTGGGTCTTTGAAATGTGAGTGGAACATCCATTTCATAACTGAAATAGTGAGAATAAAATTTACAAAGATTAATGTTCTAGAAGGAGCAGTTATCCAGTTAATTGCATATAACAGAGCTAAACTAAAACTTTTAATTTTTTTCATAGAAATTAATTTGTAGCAATCCAGTCTTTCAGAGAATCTTGAGATAATTAATGGATATTTTAGAGAGAATGCTGTTTGTTCTGAGATGTTTAGTCTTTACCCACTGCTATGCCGTTTTCAGGGGAGTCCTTGCCAACCCTGTCCACAGAAATTCTAGGCTACCCTACCATGAACTTTATGCATGCCTGCACCCTACTTTTCTCATAATGTGATTTACACACTCAGTGTCTTGCCTCTCTTAATTATTTATTTATTTTTTTCTTTTGTCTTTTGTTTTTTCTTCTGGTATAAGGAATTGAACTCACAACCTTGCACTTGCCAGGCAGGATCTTTGCTGCTGAGCTAAATCTGCAGCCCCTCTCTTAATTATTTAAAATAGTATGAAATAATATCACCAAAAAGCATTTTCTATACATATCGCAATTATTTTATTGCTGTCTTTTTATTACTTATGTGTACTTTCCCTATTTTTGTTTTGTAGAGGTTTTTATTCAGCCAACTCCAATAGTAACTTACAGAGTTACTGGTGGCATTTTGGACTTTTACATCTTTCTAGGAGATTCACCAGAGCAAGTCACTCAACAGTACCAAGAGGTGTGTTTCAGACCTATTTTTTACAAAACTACATTAGAGTATATTTTCTTCATCTAACAAATATATTTAAGTATTACTTTATCCTATGTATCTGGAGAATATTAGCTAAATATATTTCAAATCTTACATTTTGCAATACTGGATATTAAACTAAGAGCCTTTGCAGCCTTATTTTATTTTTATTTTGAGACAGGGTCCTCCTACATTGCACAGGCAGGACACACGAGTGTAATCCTCCTGCCTCAGCCTCCCAAATGCTTGGATCACAGTTGTGCATCAAAATGCCCAGATAAATCTTATCTTTTTAAGATATGAGCAAGCGATATATTTTCCCAAAATGATATATTTTCCCAAAATATTTTGTACATAATGTTACATACCTTCAAATGTCTGCCTTTTCAAAAACATTTTTTGTTTAAGGCACCTGAATTTGGAAGTTAGATTTCTTTGTGTTAATGCATATTAAACCATTGCTTATTGATGACTTATTTTGAGAAATAAAGCATGAGGAGGAATCTGACTTTCAACACTGAGAATAGGAAATAACGGTGTAGATTATATACAGTTTTGATCAAAATAGCAGATGATCAAAATAGCAGATCAAAATAAAAGGTGACAGATTTCCCTCTTATTTTATTATTTTTTGTTGCTATTCTTTTATTCTCTCGCTTAACTTTCCATGATACATAAAATATCACCTGGCAATTGTTATTTTCTTGAGTGCTTTTTAAAAAACAAAGTAAAAGAAGGACAACATTAATTTCTAATTGTTTCTGAACAAAATGTAAGGGAAAATTTTTTGAATGAAGTTAATACTAAATCTTTGTTGATAGTGTTAAGTAATAGAGACATTGCCGCATAAAAAGCCCATTATTATTTATTAATGTCAGATATGTTTCTCTTTATTGAAATTAATTAAATATTCATTTACCTCAAGCTCATTGGACTGCCAGCAATGCCGGCGTACTGGAGTCTTGGGTTCCAACTGAGCCGCTGGAATTACGGGTCCCTGGAGGTGGTGAGGGAGGTGGTGAGAAGGAACAGGGAAGCCGGCATACCATATGTGAGTAGAGTCAAGCTTTGGGGGAGTGTGCACCGCAAGCTGAGCATTGCCATGTAATAACAGATGCAGCTAGTTGTTCGCTATATTTACTATGTGTATGTATGATTAAAATAGTGCTTCTAATGGTGAAGTGTATTGGATCAGTGCTCACACCTACTGAAAGTTGTATATATGTATTTTTGCAGAATGGATCAATGCTTATTTTTTTCTAGAACAGAGTATGTTTAGCTATGAACAAAATCACATTCAATAATTTAAATAGATCTCATTTTGCTGTTTAAATATTTAGTTTATTCTCCATGCCATAATTGTCTCTCTATCTCTATCTATCTAACTATCTCTAGACACTACTGTGTAGAATAATCATCATGCAAAAACATTTATGGTCATTGAATGCTTGCATATTTAAGAATTAGAAAAACTACTTTTACAAGTAATTCCATTGTTTCTTTCATGACATTAAAAGAATATGAGTTAATTTACCTTTAAATCATTACGTTATAATACAAATTCATTAGAGTTAAAAATTAAGACTGTTGGAGACTTCTATTAGTACTATTTATTGAAACATATCATGCTAATTTTCAGGATACACAAGTGACTGATATTGACTATATGGAAGATAAGAAAGATTTTACTTATGATAAAGTCACATTTAATGGACTCCCTGATTTTGTCAGAGATCTGCATGATCACGGACAAAAATATGTTATCATCTTGGTAATGACAGTTTGTACATTAAAACATTTTTTATCTTGACAATTTATGAGTTTGTGGGTTATATAGCTTCTCCTCTCTCTCGTCAGGATCCTGCAATTGCTACAAGCCGACTTGCCAACGGGGACGCGTATGCGGCTTATGACAGAGGTAGCGCACAGCATGTGTGGATAAACGAGTCAGACGGCACCACGCCACTGATCGGAGAGGTGAATTCTATTTATTAAACTTGCATGCTTCTGATCTTCTGTTCTGGTACATCGGAACTTCTCAGAACGTGTGCTGTGTGTGTTTGCTTTCTTTTTTTATTTTGAAGAGAAAAAATTAAAAATAACAATAAAACAGTTTCAAAACAGGCTACTGGTGAAATTATTGATGAAAGAGTGAAAGAGGGCCAGTGGAATAAAACAAAAAGAAAACGTAGAGATCGAAATTCTGAATGAGAAAGGAGGTAGGCTAGCGAAAGAAAAGAGAAAAAAGGAAAAGAAAAAAAAAAAGATGAAAAAACCAGGAAACAAAAATAACCACACACAGGGAAGAAAACTTCAAATGTACAGAAGAAAAACAGCAGGACAGAAAGAAAAAGAGAAAAGAAAAGGGAAAAAACCCAACAGCAACAAAACAAAACAAAAAAGTCCCAAAACCAAAACAAACAACCAAAGCGAGCAAACAAAACTCGCTAACCCAGCCGACTGCCAAAAGGAAAGCCCACCAGACGGAGAAAAGTAGAAGCAGAGAGATTTTCTAGGGTCTGCAGCTCTGTCATAAATCTGAGTCCGATCCCAGAGCATGTGCTTCAGCCAAGATTGCAGGTGGATTTGCTCTGGAGTTAGGTCTGATCTTTGTTCTGGATTTGGGGGATGGGATTAGTTTTCTGTGGCTGGAGTTCTCCCCAGCTGTTTAAAAAAGGAGAAAATAATAACAGATGAAAAAATAAAAGAATTAAAGGAAAAAAATAAAGAGGGACGCCCAGCCTACCCACCTCTGTTCCGCGTGTCTTTGCCCACAAGCACAAGCCTGGTTCACCTAACTTACTACCTTCTGGCTCGTGTTGGAACTGTTGCTCCAGCCTCTTCCGAGCCACTAGTCCCGACTGCCCACCGCGCCTGCTCTGCCGGGGTCCCCCTGCGTCACCGGCCTTCCCGCGGGTCTCTGGTCCCGGAGTCTCCCCCGTGGAGCGAGAGGAGTGGTTATCGGACTTGCTTCCCCGCAGCAGCTGCAGCTAGGCTACCTTCATTTTCATGTTGGGTATTTTATTTGTTAAGAGAATTTTTGGTAGAAAAAACATTCCAATAATCTTTAAATTTTACAGAAAGTAAATTGACACCATATCAATTTAAAAGCTACGAAGTTAAAGCTCTGAAATTAGGGTATATAATTTAGGTTCTTACAAAAATTCTAAGGCCTTTCTGGAGGAGTTTGATATACAATAATGGCAAATATAAGCCGAGTAACCGTAAATTGGTTTCTGAGTTTTAAGATTTACATTTAATCTTCACAATAAAATAATGAGAGAACTATTACTGAAATTCTTTCATAAAAAAGATGGTTATTGAGAAGTAAAATAAAGATCATAGAACTAATGAGGAACAGAGTGCAGAGAATGCCTAATTCCCAGATGTATATTTTTATTCAGAATCAATATTCTTTTGGTGGCATCTTTTTAAGACATATCAGACACCTTAAAAATCTAGATGCAATGATTTGGTAACTCCATTTCTGTGATTTAGTCAAAATAAATAAATCAAGAAGAGACAGGAGTCTAAAATCCATATCTATTGCATCATTTATAACAATGAAAATTTTCTATTTTTATTATAGTATTTAAACTGAAGATTCTAGTGAAATACTTTCTTCAATATTATGAACTGCATTTGAGACACATGTTGTTTCCCATAATACCTAATAAGAATTCAAGGAATATATTCTAAGATCTATAATGTGAGATACAGGCAGATCGGAAACTCAATATAAGTTATTTAAATGTAAAACAGCATAGTTCATCCAACTTATTTAAAATTGAATTATTCTTGTCTAATGCTGTTGTTGGAAATGGCAAGCAAAGTAATATTAAATAATCGGAGGAACCACACGTTACAAAGTTAAAGCATACTTAAGCTTTTGCCTTGCAGTGGGCTCAGGTGTAAGACTGCCCTGGTTTGAATTCCTGCTGCACCAGTTCTTAGCACTGTGACTTTGAACAAGCGATTTAACTTCTCTGTCTGTTACTTTTCTCAGTTGCAAGGTGCAATTAATATAGTACCTCCCTGACCTGTAAGGCAATGATAAAACTAAATTTCCAATAATCATGTGTCAATAATTATAAAGTGATTGGAACAGTGCCAGGCACATATTAAATGTGATACTCAAGATTGTTGATAATGAATCAAAATAAAAATATTTTCCCTTGAATTTATTTAAAACAAGTGCCTTTGGAAATGAAGTAATATACATTACTGGACTGGAATAGATAGTTATCGAAAGTCTCGCTCAAATATGTTGATAAAAATTAAGATGAAAAGGTTTTACCTCGAACATATTGGAAACAAATGCCCTTAGAAATAAAATAATGTGTATTTTTATCAGATGAGACTACATAGTTATTTTTGGTTTTTTATGAACTTAAACAATGAGATTGCTCTAAAATAATCTTAGTTGAAATAAAAAATAGTAGCCTCCTTCTTTGTTCTCGTATTTTTTGCCTTCCTACATGCTTTACAATCAGTTTTTATCTCTTTATTTTAACTGGTATCTCATTAATGCATCTCTTACTAAACTTGAGATTACTTTAAATGTAGATGGTGACAGACTTGTATATCAAAAATATGCAAGGGTATAATGCTAATAATTTTAGTATGCTTCTCAAATAGTTTGAAATTTCATCTTTAAATTTTGTATATATATATATGATTTATTCATCTAGGTATGGCCAGGATTAACAGTATTCCCTGATTTCACTAACCCAAGCTGCATAGATTGGTGGGCAAATGAATGCAGTATTTTCCATCAAGAAGTGAACTATGATGGACTTTGGATTGTAAGTATCAATTTTAAACCAGAGATTTTGTTCAGCTATCATAGAAGTATTCATAAAGTGTATTTAATATAAAAAGCTCATATTCTTCTAGACTGTATAAATATCATACTTGTCATGTTTATAAGTTAGAAAGTAGCAAGAACTGAATATGTAAAGTGAGATTTTACTTCTGTAATAATGAACTTGATAGGAAGAAAATCTTCAATTTTGTAATTAAGGTTTTATATCTTTATGACTAAGAACTTCTCTGAAGAACAGATAATGAGGTATGGGGATGAGCCTATAGCAGTCACCTTTCAAAATCATTTATGAGTCAGTAATAGTACAACAATTATAGCAATGTAAATGTGCAAAAGTTCCCACTTTATTTAGAAACTTTGTTTTAGCAAGCTACAAAGTAGAACAAATACAAACTGGCTGCAGATTTTGTTTTATTGCAAGAAATGGCAATGGGAGCTATAATTTGGGAAAGTAGTTGACCAATGCAGTGTATTAACTTAATGTTTCCTTACTATTTGGCCATAAAATTTTTTCATAAAATACAAACTAAAAATATAACCACAAATAAACTCCTAGATAGGTTATAACATTGTTTAAAGAAAACAGTTGGGGCTTTTGGAAGCTTCTTTGAGTTTTTGTTTTTATCTCTAGTTATTCAGAGCTTACTGATGGTCAAGGATGTAGGTTTTTTGATTTTGGTAAGTCTGAATCCCCTAATGACCCAGAAGATCTGTATTTTATACAAACATCTGATGCACCTGGACACAAAATGAACAGCAAGTATTTTGTTCAAAAGTGTTATAACTATGTACTCCTGGTAGGAGATATAATAAGTGTGCTAACTCTCTCCTTTGACTATTTAAATGCAAACTATTTTTACTTTCATGAAGTGCTTATTATTCATTTAGTCATTATTTTAATTATTAGTTATTTACTCAAAAATATTTAAATATATTTACTATTCATACCTATATATTGGTATATTAAGAAGATGCAAATATGAGAAAATTTTTTCTACTTACAAAATAGCATTTAGTGAAGAGCATGATTTTCAGGATTCTATGATTGTATCAACAGAAAAAAGATTAAAAGATTTTTAGCTTCTTTGTAAACATTAAGTCAATGAAAGCACACTGTTTGTATATAATTATAGTAAGAAATAATTGAAAAATTATCTTCAGATCTTGAGTTTTATTTTCATCCGAGTATTTATTTTATTTATTTTAAGTTTCTGCAGTCTTATTTTTTTCTGTTGTAAAACTTTTTTATTTTAAAGATAAAAGAACCAAAATATATTAACAAGATGTAGTATTTTTATATAATGGAATATTACTCAGCTATAAAGAAAGATACACTCAAGGCTTTTATAGGTAAATGAATGTAATTAGACACCATACTCATCAGTTAAATAAATCAGACACACAGGTGTAAATATCATGTTGTCTCCCTAGTGTAAGAACCTGAAAGAGTAGATATAATCTAAAAGGTACAATAATATTTTGAAAGGGAAAGAAACTGCTCAAAAGGAAAGAATGACTGGTATGTGGGAAATGAGGAAAGAAAGAAAGAAGAGAAATATATATGTACATGCACACACACGCACACACAAGATAGCTAAGATAATTGTACTCATAATTTCTATTGCTTTATTGAAAGGAACAGTGGATGCTTAATTGTTTGACCCTGTTGTAACACTTTGATTAGAACAGAATTTGTGAGTGATTCTTTTTGTAGTATAGAAAGAATACTCAATTTCCTACATCACTGTAGACAGCAAATCATCTGCAAAGAGGAGAGGATGAGAAGGTTAACAGCATCAAGAGAGGCAGTTTTTTTTACTACTAGTCTTAATACAGAAACATCTTAGCTTATCCCTAAAAGTTAAGACACAATGAGATCAGTACAACTTCAGTGCTCAGTAAGTATCAGTAAATCCATGCATATTCTAAATAAACTGTGGTTATTTTTGCTTCCAGCTGTTGAATAATTGCCAACTCCTGCTGCTCAGGTGGTTGTCTATTTTTTCACTCTCTCTCAGTTATTTTTCCTGATGGAATAACCATTAAATGAAATACTCATTGCTGTCTAACTGATAAGCTTTAATTTTTATGTCAACTCTGAAAATATTTTTCAATTTACTAGATTTGTATTATAGTTTCTGTATCACTGGTTTTGAATTTTAACCTTAAACATTACACTCTAGAAATCAGTTTACTATTCTTGGTATAATTAAGACTGAAGCTGTGATTTCAAAATAAAATTGTTAGTCAATATTTTTAAAATTTGAAGGCAATTTCCATTGTCTTTATCATATAAACATATGTTGTGATCATGTTCTTGGTATCACTATTATTAGTCATTTATTTACTTTTAGGAGGCTCTGGGGATCAAACCCAGCACCTTGTATACGCAGGGTAAGCCTCTTTATTTTTGAGCTACCTGGATTTAGTGTTACAAATCTAACAAGCAGGAGGTTTTTTCT